GCCACGGCACACCCCCCTTCCCACCTCCAACCCACGGCCCACTCCCCTTCCCCACCAGTCAACTCCCACCCCATGCAAACCCGCTCCAAGGCCGGTGTTTTCTGCCCAAAACAAATCTTGGACCTCCACACCACTACCTTCATCTCCCCCTTACCCCCAACTTACCGTAGTGCTATGAAAGATCCAAACTGGCATGCTGCTATGTGTGATGAATATAATGCTTTGTTAAAGAATAACACATGCGAACTAGTACCCCCCTCCCCCAACCAAAACATAATCACTGGTAAATGGCTCTTCAGACACAATGATACGAATATCGTATCGGATAGGGAAGAACTTCAAGCGTTCTTCAAGCTCCAAGAAAGGGGAGGCAAAGAGAGAAGGAAAACTTTGAGCGCTTCCGGACTCCAAGAAAAGAGAGACGAGAGATTAAGAGAGTTCTTAATTATTAATTGATTGAATGATAATAAAACGGGATTACAATATATAGAGATTAGACGTTACACCTACATGACCTAATGGGCTCGGGCCCATACAAAAACCCTAATATATAAAATATTGATAAATAATAATAATTAACTACTAAATAATAATATAACTAATTAAAATATTCTAATTAACTATCCATATCATTCTCACCCCCTTAAAAACCACCTTGTCCTCAAGGTGGAGGTTCCCACTCAAGCTTTTGGACATGTGAGAACGTGCTAAACCAGAAAAGACGTAAATTTGTTGACCAATCTTCAAGAAGCTTCTCGGGTGAAGTATATAGGCATAAATAAAAGTGAAGACCAAACTTTCGTCGAATCATTTTCTTCAAGACCAAGTGCTGAGACTTGACAAGATCAAACAACTTGATGGTATCCAAAGAAATTAACTGGGCCGCTTGGTTACAATTTTCACTAGCCACCTTGTCGACACTTTCTAGAACGTCATACTTTGCAATCTCTACCCCCATTAGGGCATTTAGTGGCACATGTAATTCACGAGGTGTAGAATCTGTCTTGTAGGATAGCATACCACTCGTAATATTAGCACCATCATCTCCATCAATAACACCACCATCATTGTCAATGACGTCAGACCCGCTATCATTGTCCTCATTGATGAAAGATTCCTCGCTTGATTCCTTTGGTTCATTTGTGTCCTCCACAGTCGGGGCGGGGAGTGTGTTGGCGTTTTCCACCATGTGGGCAAACGTGTCTCTAGACTTCTCTGATGTCTTCTCAAAACAAACATAATCCAAATCATGTAGCGGAGCAAATCGTATTTGGAACTTTTTAACAAAATCCTCCCAACCATCAATCAAGCCACCACGCATACGCCAATTAAACCAAGCCAAGGCAGAGCCCTCTAACATTGATGTCACACGGTTCAAACGATCAACTAAAGGGATCTCATAAAACTCAAAATACGCACATACCTTAGCTAACCACTGCAAGGATTCAAATCCGTCACATTTTGGGGGCAACGTTGGTGGAGAAAGTGGAGCGCCTGTCACTTTCCGTATAGTACCCATAATGTGTGCTCTGAAAATTTGTAACTCAAAAGGAATTTGACTTGGCACAATTAGAGGTCCACGAACCAAATCCTGTACCGAGCAAAAAAAATTTACGTCGAGCACATCATAATCAATTTGACCTTCAAAATGACGGACCGACCTGATCTTTTTAATAATTTCATATACTTGATCAAAAATCAAACAAACTCCTTCATCATGCTCAATTTCTCCATAAAGAACTTTCTCTAACAAATCAAAAAGTTTCTCCATGGTAGAGTTCATCAGCATTACAAATTGTATATCCAGCTTTTTTTGTTGCAACACCAATCCCAATTTGAGAAAACTAATGGAGGAACCAATTTTTTTATTTGCTCTGATGACTCCTTGATCTTGCGGCTCTTTTTTATCAATGACTTTGGATTTGTTATGGCATATAAAAACTTGGGGTAAGTACCTTGTGTGGCAAATCAATTAAGATTCCTTCCTGTTTGTGTCTTCCCGCACTGATGAGTTGCTGCCACTCGTCCAGTTGTTCCAAGCAAAAAAAAAAACGGCACAATTGCTCTTCTAAAACCGACACAAGAATCGGGCTACGACAAAGGCAATTTTTGGACGGCGGCAAGAGGGTGCGATCTGGGATTATTTTTTTTTGGTTTTTTTGGTTTTTTTGGTGAGTCTCTCAACGAGAGCACCAATTAATACGAATATCGTATCGGATAGGGAAGAACTTCGAGCGTTCTTCAAGCTCCAAGAAAGGGGAGGCAAAGAGAGAAGGAAAACTTCGAGCGCTTCCGGGCTCCAAGAAAAGAGAGACGAGAGATTAAGAGAGTTCTTAATTATTAATTGATTGAATGATAATAAAACGGGATTACAATATATAGAGATGAGACGCCACACCTACATGACCTAATGGGCTCGGGCCCATACAAAAACCCTAATCTATAAAATACTGATAAATAATAATAATTAACTACTAAATAATAATATAACTAATTAAAATATTCTAATTAACTATCCGTATCATTACAATTTATACGAATATCGTATGGGAAGAACTTCGAGCGTTCTTCAAGCTCCAAGAAAGGGGAGGCAAAGAGAGAGGAAAACTTCGAGTGTTTCCGGGCTCCAAGAGAATAGAGAAGGAGATTAGGGTTTTGATATTTCTTTATTGCTTGAGTAATTATGAGAAATTAGTATAATATATAGAGTAATGCAGCAACACCAACTGACCTAATGGGCTTAGGCCCGTACTAAACCCTAAACTAGATTAACTATAAAATATTAATAAATAATACTAATTAATAAATAATATAACTAATATATTATCATATCATTCCCACCCCCTTAAAAACCACCTTCTCCTCAAGGTGGAGGCTCCCACTCGTGCTTCTGAACTGGTGATAAAACATTGAACCACACACAAAGTCCACCTGGTGAGCGTTTTACAAAAAACGTGTTGGTTGAAGTGTGTAGAACCGTCTGCTTTGAAACTGGATATTCAGACTTGACAACATCAACAATGTCAAATAACTGAAAAGTTTCCAACGAAATTGAATTCTCTGCTACCTGGTCTAGAATCACGAGAGCTTCATACCTTGTAGTGTCCACAACACCTGATGTATCATAAAATGCAAGATCTGACTTCTGGGATGACTCATCATTTTTAATAGTAACATTATCATCTTCCTTCATGACGTGAAACTCGCTATTGTTTTCATTCTTGGGGTGCGGCTCAACTTTTAGTCTCTCATATCCAGATGTGTCCTTCACAATAGGAGCAAGGTGTATACCTGTTTCTTCCGTCATTTGGATAGTTGTGTCTCTAGCCGTAGGGGGTAAACTTGGTGGAGGAAACGATGCGTCAATGAGACTTTTTATAGCATCCAACGTTTTTGTTCTAAAATTTTGTAACTCTAAAGAAATCAAACCTGATAAAATTGGAGGACCACGAACCAAATTTTGGACTAAACAAGAGATTTCAATGCCCAACGCATGCAAGTCAGAATCATAATTTGTTTGACCTCCAATAGGGCAAAATGACCGTAGATTCTTGAGAACTTCATCTATGTGATCAAAAAGTGTGCAAACTCCTTCGTCATGCTCAATTTCTCCATATAGAACATTCTCCAGCAAATCAATTAGTTTGTCCAATGCACCGGTACAAATAATCAAAGCCTCTAACCGCTTGAATCGTGCCTCCATTCGGAAGGAAAAACCCTGCTCCATTTGAAAAAAATATGAATCTGGTCACAGCCGACCAATTAACACAGTCCAAAAAAAACAAATCGACTCTGGTCCAATTTTTTTTCCCTGCGATTGAATGTTGTGCTGCAGTAGTAGCTGTGCTTTTGTCACTTTTTTTGTTGTTGTTGGTAAAACACCACAAGTTGCAGCACCCAAATTGAATCTGAATTAGCCCAAAAAAACTTCTTACGAACACTTGCAGCAAGATTTGATTTGTTTTACTTGGCGGCTGATTTCACAAAGAAAGCTTGGGATGGGAAACCAATTTAAGCCCCTGGATGACAAAAAGCTTGGTGGCGGCGACGTTTGGGATGGATCAAATCAAGTGCAGCGGCGGCAGCAACGTTTGGGACAGATGGAGGCTTCGCAGAGATGCCGACGATAAATATCGATGTGATTAAGATTCCTGACGGTAAATTGGCCACAGTGATGATAACCTCCGATGGCAAAAAGATCGGCACAAAGCTAGATCGACGAAAATCTGGGCGGCTGGGACACGGGGGCAACTACTAGATCGTCTCAGATTTTTTTTTTGATTTTTTTTTTGTGTTTCTCTCAATGAAAGCACCAATTGATACGAATATCGTATGGGAAGAACTTCGAGCGTTCTTCAAGCTCCAAGAAAGGGGAGGCAAAGAGAGAGGAAAACTTCTAGTGTTTCCGGGCTCCAAGAGAATAGAGAAGGAGATTAGGGTTTTGATATTTCGTTATTGCTTGAGTAATTATGAGAAATTAGTATAATATATAGAGTAATGCAGCAACACCAACTGACCTAATGGGCTTAGGCCCGTACTAAACCCTAAACTAGATTAACTATAAAATATTAATAAATAATACTAATTAATAAATAATATAACTAATATATTATCATATCACACAAATTTGGCCCGTCCGGTGAGTTATCCAGGTATAAGGCCCGATGGGTGGTCTGCGGATTCAATCAACGCTTTGGCGTTGACTATAGCGAAACTTTCAGCCCCGTCATCAAGCCTATCACGGTTCGAATCGTCCTTAGCCTCGCGTTGTCTCGTGGGTGGCCCATCCATCAGCTAGATGTCAAAAAGGCCTTCCTCCATGGACAGCTTCAGGAAATCGTGTATGCCAGCCAGCCCTCAGGATTTCAGGATGCAAATCGCCCTCATCATGTTATTACAGATTTGCAGGTTTCATTCAGACTATTATGGAGTTGGAGGAGACGAAGAACTAGCCTCAAAGAAAGACGAAGAACTAGCCTCAAAGACCCAAGTCTGAATCATTGTCTGTTTTAGAAAAAGAGAAGAGAGACGCGAAAGAGAGCAGCGAAAGAGAACGGCGGTTCTAGAGACAGAGACTAGGTGCAAAAAAATATCCGTATAAAATAATCCCCTTTTTAATAATTTTACACCTAATTATATTGATATAGTAGCAATTTATAAAATTTGCCACAATAAGCCTATTATTTTGGGGCAAATTTCTAATTGCCACAAATATTTAAAGACTAATTGGATATAGTGGCAAATACTAGTTATAGAATGAAGAAATCAATTATTTTTTTGGTTAGGTATGGTTCCAGTGGAAGATAAGCTACAAGAAACTAGTTTAGGGTGCTTCGATCATGTAAGACGGTGAAATGCTGACGCGTCAGTACCGAGATGCGAGAGGCTTATGTTTTTATCTGCGTTTTATGCCTTGTATATTTGGTGCTATTTGTTACTTGATTGTAGTACTTTCTCTTCGTTAACTTTAGTTTATTTTATATTTTAGGTGTGCTTGGTGCTTTATCTAAGCTGTATTTGTGATTTCTCTACTTTATGTATCTATTCTGGTCCTTCTATTTGTGCAGCTTGAGTCGGGGGTCTCTTCGAAAGAATCTCTCTACTTTGAGTAAGGGCGGAAATGTTTTCGTATACATACACACCCTCCTCAGACCCTACCTTCTTGGATCCAACTGAGTTGTTGTTATTGTTTTATCGAAATACTACCTTCATCCCACAATAATTTACACTCTTCACCATTCCAAATCACGAGTCTTTTTATTTATTTGTGTTTTTTGATAGATTCTTTGATAAAAAAAATATTCTTGTCATACCTCATTCGTAGACTTTTTGATCTACTTTTTAAATATACAAATTTTACTTTTTATTTCTATAAAATATTTTATTTATACAAATCACCGGAAAACTTCACTATTCAAAAAGATTGCAACACTCCACTATTCAAAAATCAAAAGAACTTTTGTTTATTTTTTTATTTCCATTGATTATTTGATAAAATAAATGATTCGTGTCATCTCTTGTTTTATAGAGCTTTTAACGTAATTTTTAAATATATAAATTTTATTTTTTATATAAATCTTTAAATAAAATAAATTAAAACAACTCAAAAATATACTTCATTTTACGTGATATTGCAATTTTTTTGGAATCAAAGTAGTATTTTATTCCGTTTTAGGTAAAGCATAATTCAATTCATTATAAAAGGGAGAAAGTAAAATAATGCTCCCGACCCATAATGCATCTTTGGAAGACAAGTGTTGTTGCCATGGGGTCGCATCATTTCACTAATTGGACAAGAAGATTTTGATGGTATTCCAGCCGTCGCATCAACTTACCAATCGGATCATCTAACCACGTTAATTAAACATCTGAACGTGCTCTTTTCTTTCCAAAAAGATAACGTTCCAAATAGAACTCAACTCAAGTCACGTCCTTCAGCAGACATGCAATACATATTAGTCATCAAATCTTTGATCAACTTTTCAACGCTAACAAATGGCGGTTTATATGTGGCGTATTACAAATTAGGAGTATTGCCTAACGCAACATAAAACCAGGGTTTAGAATTACGGTTGCAGTGGTGGTTTATAATTATATCATGGGGAGGCAGTGAGTCATTGTGTGTTATTAAGTTAACAAAAATGAAAGAAAAATCAAAATAGCACCCTTAGAGTCTTAAAATACTTTAAATAGCAGTGTTATATGTTTCGTACCTGTGATTCCGATTTTGTTCCTTAATTAAACAGCAAATATTCATTCACAGTGTCAAAAAATATGACTGTTTTGGGCAGTGTGATTGTTCACTTGTAACTGTGTAGTGGGCAATGCGGTTTTTTATTTGTGAGTGTTTAATGTGGCAGTATAGAATGGATATATGTTGTTATATATTACGGCAGTGTATAAGTGTATTATTGTGTTCTTTAATTTATGTTGGAGTGTAATGCCATTGATTTATGTGGCAGTATTTTCATGTATAAATATTCTACACTGTCTAAATGTATAGCTCTTTTTGTGTATGAATTCCACACTGTTTTCATGTATCAATTCTACACCATCAAAAATGTGTATGGCTGTTTTCATGTATGAATTCCACAGTGCCTAAAAATGTATGACTGATTTCATGAATAATCTATTATACCAAAACACACTGGCCAAAAATGGGCGTTAAATATGGAACTTCATTTAATACGTACAAACTTGTTTAGGCATTATACATTGGTAAACTATGTAGGAGGAGGATCTCGTAGAGCTATAATAAACGGCGTAGGATGATGTTCTCCCACGTATGAGATGCACGATTGAGGACGAGCCGCACGTATGAGGAGGAGTGACTACATGAATAACCTAAGTTTAATCAAATAATTAAAAATAATTAAAAATAGTAGAATATAATAAAAGGAAGATGGTATGGTTGGAAGATATTGACACTATAAATAGATAAATTTGTATAAAAGATTAAGGAGTGCTATATGCATAGTATTGAGTGACTTAGGGGCTGTTTGTTTCAGCCTCTTAATGGTTCAGATGTCTGAATGGTTCAGCACTTAATGATTCAGACTGTTTGTTTCAGCCTCTTAATGGTTCAGATGTCTGAATGGTTAAGAGATTTGCCTCTGAATGGTTTAGTATTATACAGAGTCTGAATGGTTAAGACCTCTTATCTGAATTGATCTGACATTTGCCTCTGAATAGTTAAGCAATATACTAGCTCTTAATGGTTCAGACCTCTTACTGGTTCAGCACTTAATGGTTCAGACCTCTTACTAGTTCAGCACTTACCCATTCAGAAGTTGCCAAACAGCCCCTTAGAGTGCTACGTAAGGTGATTTCTTAACAAAAATATTAAAAATATTACTCTGTATATTGTAATTAGATTCAGATCAACAATTAAGGGTCATGGGGTCCTGCCTCTTTAGTTGTGATCCATTACATTTATTAGTATTTATAGTTCATAACCCTAAATAAACTAAGAAATTTAGTAATTGACTTATATTCAAATTGTGCTCTCAAATTTGGACATCTAATAAGAGATGCTAAATTTGGACATTTATTAGTATTTATAGTTCATAACCCACATTTAGACATCTAATAAGAGATGCTACCACTGTGGATGCCCTTATATTCAAATTATGCTCTCAAATTGATTTTTCAAAGTCATAAATTCTCTCGTATACAATTTTTAAGATGAGTAATACTCCGTATTCAATAATTTAACATTCAATCATTCAAAAAATTTATTGCAGAGTATTTGAATATACGTAGTATGTTCAAAATTAATAATTCTACTTTAATGTTAGTGAAAGTTTCTTTTTGCAAGACACATCTGAAATAATCATTTTTATATTATTCTCCAATTAAATTTATGTTCAATTTATAATCAGAGTTGAAAT